CTTGGTGGTCTCACCTGGTCACACCTGGTCACACCTGGTCTCACCTGGTCACACTTGGTCACACCTGGTCACACCTGGTCTCACGTGGTCACACTTGGTCACACCTGGTCACACCTGGTCCCACCTGGTCCCACCTGGTCCCACCTGGTCACACCTGGTCTCACCTGGTCTCTCCTGGTCACACCTGGGCACACCTGGGCACACCTGGTCTCACCTGGTCACACTTGGTCTCACCTGGTCATACTTGGTCACACCTGGTCCCACTTAGTCCCACCTGGTCACACCTGGTCTCTCCTGGTCACACCTGGGCACACCTGGGCACACCTGGTCTCACCTGGTCACAGTTGGTCTCACCTGGTCACACCTGGTCCCACCTAGTCTCACCTGGTCACACCTGGTCTCACCTGGTCACACCTGGTCACACCTGGTCTCACTTGGGTACACCTCATCAGTGACACCTCACACTCACCTGCTCGAAGGCCCGGGCGTAAAGAGGCAGGGCGGCGTGCGCAGGGAAGATCCCGGCACAGTCACATGGCGCCTCCTTAGTGGTCCGCTCATGAGGCGCGCTGTCAGTGCCGAGAAAGCAACGAGTGCTGCCGCCCGTCACTGCTGCCACTATCGCTTGGCCTGGTAAGAGGGAAGGAGGAGGGAGGAGGAGGGAGAAGGAGGGAGAAGGGTTGAGAAGGGAGAAGACAGATGTAGGGCCGTGTTTGTGTTCTTCACCTGTGATTCTCTTTCTTCTCTCGTTGGTGTGCATGCCATGCTAATCCCTCCTCGCAGCAGGTGAAACTTCCGGTGTGTCTCTCTCTCATGAGCACAGGAAGGCAGAAGGGGTGTGGCCAAATGCCCCCAGCAAACAGAGCACTGAGGTTCCTCAGCGGGTGCTGCGGCGTCACTGTAGTAGCCACCCGCCCCTCAGGTGCTGCAGGGTCACTGTAGCAGCCACCCGCCCCTCAGGTGCTGCGGGGTCACTGTAACAGCCACCCGCCCCCCAGGTGTTGGGGCGTGAAGTGAAAGGGCAGACAGAACTGGGAGAGGGAAACTCATAGTGAGTTTCTCGCTTGAGCACAGGCAGGGAGAAGTGGTGCGGCCGAATGCCCCCAGTGAACAGCGCGTTGCGGTTCCATAGCAGGTGCTGCGGCGTGTCCCTCCCTTTCGCACTCTGAGAACATGCATTCAGGTGATTTTCTCTTCTGCCAGAGGGGCACAGCGGGACTCACGATGCGTTTCCCGCTTGAGCACAGGCAGGCAGAAGTGGTGGGGCCGAATACCCCCGGAGAACAGCGCATTGCGGTTCCACAGCAGGTGCTGCTGCAGTCTCTCTCCTCATAGTGAAACTTACGGTGTGTCTCCCGCTTCAACACAGGCAAGCAGAAGTGGTGCGGGCGAATGTGTTTCTGCTGCAGCTGATCAAACGGCAGAGAGTCATGGGGCAGGCCGGGGCATAGAGACACAGAGACACTGAGCCATAGAGCCACGGGGCGGGCAGGGGTGTAGTTTAGCGGCACTGGGCCAGCGGGTCATGGGGCGGGCTGCGGTATAGAGGCCTTTTGCGGCACCTCGAAGCTGGGCCTGTGCTCTCTTGGAATGTGTTCTTACTGCAGCTGATCAAACGGCACAGGGTGATGGGGGGGCAGGCAGGGGAGTGATGTTATAAGTGTGGGATGGGGCCAGGCAGGGGGCATAGCGGTACTGAGTCATTGGTCAGACGGGCAGATAGATGTGTGGTGGGGCGTGTCATGGGGGCGTGTCATTGGCGGTGATGCTTACAGCATGGCATGGAGCAGACAGGTTAGGGCGACAGAGTGTTGTGGCGCCTCAGAAGTAGCACCAGATAACTGACTGCCCTGACATGAGGTTTGCGGCTCTATATGCATCGAGGAGCACGTTGCAACATATAGCTCAGCTCACACGCGCCGCGCCAAGCTAACCGTCTCATGTCTTGTAGGTTGTGAAGCTTATCAAGCATTATAACAAACAGAGCAAGAGGTGACCATGAGAGTGTACCTATTTATTGCAAGCTCTCTATTCGAGCCTCATGAAGAGTCAAGTGTACTGCGCTGCTCTATTGTTGTGATGCCCATGAGGCAAACTGGATCAAGCATCACAGTACAGTTAACACCTTCACCCAACGTAATTATTGGACATATATAACCAGCACCTGCCACTACACCTGCCACTTCAGCTGCCACTTCAGCTGCCCCCTGCAAGCATGCACCTATGGCAGGTCCTGGGATCCCCCACTGCTGCCCGGGTATGAGTTGGGCGCGGCCCAAGGGGGCGAAGCAGGGTCAGTGGGAATGAGCCAGGCTTGATCTAGGCTTGGTTCGGATCGGAACTTATGCTTGGTTCGGTTGTCAGAGGGCAGCACCTGCCCTGCCACTCTAGCTGCTCGCCTGCCAGCATGGGCACGAGGGAACTTCTGAGTCGACTCAAAAGTCATCTAGCTGCTCGCCTGCCAGCATGGGCACGAGGGAACTTCTGAGTCGACTCAAAAGTCATCTAGCTGCTCGCCTGCCAGCATGGGCACGAGGGAACTTCTGAGTCGACTCAAAAGTCATCTAGCTGCTCGCCTGCCAGCATGGGCACGAGGGAACTTCTGAGTCGACTCAAAAGTCATCTAGCTGCTCGCCTGCCAGCATGGGCACGAGGGAACTTCTGAGTCGACTCAAAAGTCATCTAGCTGCTCGCCTGCCAGCATGGGCACGAGGGAACTTCTGAGTCGACTCAAAAGTCATCTAGCTGCTCGCCTGCCAGCATGGGCACGAGGGAACTTCTGAGTCGACTCAAAAGTCATCTAGCTGCTCGCCTGCCAGCATGGGCACGAGGGAACTTCTGAGTCGACTCAAAAGTCATCTAGCTGCTCGCCTGCCAGCATGGGCACGAGGGAACTTCTGAGTCGACTCAAAAGTCATCTAGCTGCTCGCCTGCCAGCATGGGCACGAGGGAACTTCTGAGTCGACTCAAAAGTCATCTAGCTGCTCGCCTGCCAGCATGGGCACGAGGGAACTTCTGAGTCGACTCAAAAGTCATCTAGCTGCTCGCCTGCCAGCATGGGCACGAGGGAACTTCTGAGTCGACTCAAAAGTCATCTAGCTGCTCGCCTGCCAGCATGGGCACGAGGGAACTTCTGAGTCGACTCAAAAGTCATCTAGCTGCTCGCCTGCCAGCATGGGCACGAGGGAACTTCTGAGTCGACTCAAAAGTCATCTAGCTGCTCGCCTGCCAGCATGGGCACGAGGGAACTTCTGAGTCGACTCAAAAGTCATCTAGCTGCTCGCCTGCCAGCATGGGCACGAGGGAACTTCTGAGTCGACTCAAAAGTCATCTAGCTGCTCGCCTGCCAGCATGGGCACGAGGGAACTTCTGAGTCGACTCAAAAGTCATCTAGCTGCTCGCCTGCCAGCATGGGCACGAGGGAACTTCTGAGTCGACTCAAAAGTCATCTAGCTGCTCGCCTGCCAGCATGGGCACGAGGGAACTTCTGAGTCGACTCAAAAGTCATCTAGCTGCTCGTCTGCCAGCATGGGTACGAGGGAGCCATTGCCTTCCCCGTACGGGTACGAGTCAGACACGGCCCACAGCTGGCGGATGAGAATGACGCGGCGGGTGTTATTGACGATTTCACACCTATTCAAGCCTGGTTCAGTGATCCAAAGGCAGCACCTGCCACTCTAGCTGCTCGCCTGCCAGCATGGGTACGAGGGAGCCATTGCCTTCCCCGTACGGGTACGAGTCAGACACGGCCCACAGCTGGTGGATGAGAATGACGCGGCGGGTGTTATTGACGATTTCACACCTATTCAAGCCTGGTTCAGTGATCCAAAGGCAGCACCTGCCACTCTAGCTGCTCGCCTGCCAGCATGGGTACGAGGGAGCCATTGCCTTCCCCGTACGGGTACGAGTCAGACACGGCCCACAGCTGGCGGATGAGAATGACGCGGCGGGTGTTATTGACGATTTCACACCTATTCAAGCCTGGTTCAGTGATCCAAAGGCAGCACCTGCCACTCTAGCTGCTCGCCTGCCAGCATGGGTACGAGGGAGCCATTGCCTTCCCCGTACGGGTACGAGTCAGACACGGCCCACAGCTGGCGGATGAGAATGACGCGGCGGGTGTTATTGACGATTTCACACCTATTCAAGCCTGGTTCAGTGATCCAAAGGCAGCACCTGCCACTCTAGCTGCTCGCCTGCCAGCATGGGTACGAGGGAGCCATTGCCTTCCCCGTACGGGTACGAGTCAGACACGGCCCACAGCTGGCGGATGAGAATGACGCGGCGGGTGTTATTGACGATTTCACACCTATTCAAGCCTGGTTCAGTGATCCAAAGGCAGCACCTGCCACTCTAGCTGCTCGCCTGCCAGCATGGGTACGAGGGAGCCATTGCCTTCCCCGTACGGGTACGAGTCAGACACGGCCCACAGCTGGCGGATGAGAATGACGCGGCGGGTGTTATTGACGATTTCACACCTATTCAAGCCTGGTTCAGTGATCCAAAGGCAGCACCTGCCACTCTAGCTGCTCGCCTGCCAGCATGGGTACGAGGGAGCCATTGCCTTCCCCGTACGGGTACGAGTCAGACACGGCCCACAGCTGGCGGATGAGAATGATGCGGCGGGTGTTATTGACGATTTCACACCTATTCAAGCCTGGTTCAGTGATCCAAAGGCAGCACCTGCCACTCTAGCTGCTCGCCTGCCAGCATGGGTACGAGGGAGCCATTGCCTTCCCCGTACGGGTACGAGTCAGACACGGCCCACAGCTGGCGGATGAGAATGACGCGGCGGGTGTTATTGACGATTTCACACCTATTCAAGCCTGGTTCAGTGATCCAAAGGCAGCACCTGCCACTCTAGCTGCTCGCCTGCCAGCATGGGTACGAGGGAGCCATTGCCTTCCCCGTACGGGTACGAGTCAGACACGGCCCACAGCTGGCGGATGAGAATGACGCGGCGGGTGTTATTGACGATTTCACACCTATTCAAGCCTGGTTCAGTGATCCAAAGGCAGCACCTGCCACTCTAGCTGCTCGCCTGCCAGCATGGGTACGAGGGAGCCATTGCCTTCCCCGTACGGGTACGAGTCGGGCACGGCCCACGGCTGGCGGATGAGGGTGATGCGGCGGGAGTTGCGAGGCAGGCCGTAGAAATCAGGTCCGTTGAAGCTCGTGAAGGCCTCGAGCTTGTCCAGTGCGCCTGCCTGCTCGAATGCCCGGGCGTAGAGAGGCAGGGCGGCGTGCGCAGAGAAGATCCCGGCGCAGCCACATGGTGCCTCCTTAGTGGTGCGCTCGTGAGGTGCGCTGTCGGTGCCGAGAAAGAAACGAGTGCTGCCGCCCGTCACTGCAGCCACTATCGCCTGGCCTGGTAAGGGGGAAGGCGGAAGGAGAAAGGAGGAGGACGGAGGAGGAAGAAGGAAGAAGGAAGAAGGAAGGAGGAAGAAGGAAGAAGGAAGAAGGAAGGAGGAAGAAGGAAGAAGGAAGAAGGAAGAAGGAAGGAGGAAGAAGGAAGAAGGAAGAAGGAAGAAGGAAGAAGGAAGAAGGAAGAAGGAAGGAGGAAGGAGGAAGAAGGAAGAAGGAAGAAGGAAGAAGGAAGAAGGAAGAAGGAAGAAGGAAGGAGGAAGAAGGAAGAAGGAAGAAGGAAGAAGGAAGAAGGAAGGAGGAAGGAGGAAGAAGGAAGAAGGAAGAAGGAAGGATGAGGAACGAGGAGAACACAGATTTAGGAACGCACTTGAGGAGAAGCAAGAAAGAACGAAATATTTACAAGTGACTATCTGTCGTCTCCCTTTGATCAGCATGCGAGTCTCGTCTTCCTCACCACCTCTCATGAAACAACGAGACTCACGGTGTGTCTCCCGCTTGAGGACAGGCAAGCAGAAGTGGTGGGGCCGAATGCGCCCACTGAACAGAGCGTTGCGGTTCCACAGCAGGTGCTGTGGCAGTCCCTTTCCTCTCAGTGAAACTTACGGTGGGTCTCCCGCTTGAGCATGGGCAGGCAGAAGTGGTGCGGGCGGATGCCCCCCGTGAACAGAGCGTTGCGATTCCACGGCAGGTGCTACAACAGTACCTCTCATCGCAGTGAAACTTACGGTGGGTTTCTCTTTTCAACACGGGCAGGCAGAAGTGGTGCGGGCGGATGCCCCCTGTGAACAGAGCGTTGCGGTTCCACAGCAGGTGCTGGGGGGTCACTGTAGCAGCCACCCGCCCCTCAGGTGCTTTCAACACAAACTCGACCGCATCTGCGGTGGTGACATGCTCGAGAACCACTCGCAGGGAGGGCAGGCGGGCTAGCAGGGGCGAGAGCACTCGATGGATGAACTCCTTCTCGCGATCGAACATGTCGACTGATGGATCCACCACTTCTCCATGCAGCTGTGGGGGGGGAGTGGGAGGGGGAAGGAAAGGGGAAGGGAGTGGACAGGCACGTGCTGTGGACTAGCAGAGGCGAGAGGACTCGATGAATGAACTCCTCGCGGTCGAGCATGTCGACTGATGGATCCACCACCTCACCATGCAGCTGGGAAAATCAACGGGGGAGACAGAGGGGCGGGGGGAGTGAGTGGGGAAGGAGAGGGTGGGAGGGGGTAAGTCGACCGCATGTGAGGGCAGGCGGGGCCAGCAGGGGCGAGAGGAGCATGTCTTTCCCACGGTGGATGATCTCTCTCTCGCAGCCCAACATGTCGACTGATGAGTCCACCACCTCCCCGTGCACCAGCAGGGGCGAGAGGAGTCGGTCGGTGGATGAACTCTTTCTTGCGGTCGAACCTGTGTCGACTGATGGGTCCCCCACCTCCCCGTGCAGCTGGGAAACTCAACGGGGGAGACAGAGCGGCGGGGGGAGTGAGTGGGGAAGGAGAGGGTGGGAGAGGGTAAGTCGACTGCATGTGAGAGCAGGCGGGCTAGCAGGGGCGAGAGGAGTCGGTGGATAAACTCTTTCTTGCGGTCGAACCTGTGACGACTGATGGGTCCCCCAGCTCCCCGTGCAGCTGGGAGTGGAGGGAGAGGGAGGGGGGGACAGGGAAGGTTGTAGTGTTGGCTTCCCTAATAGCAGAGGCGAGAGCACCCGGTGAATGGAATCTTTCTTGCCCCCTCCCAAACTCACGAGCAGCGGCATGCCAATCTGCGCCATGTGCTGAATGGCAGGGAAGCAGCGCCCAAAGAGGTCCGTCACTCCCGCTGCTGAGTTGGTCGTCGCTCCCGCAGGGTACAGCTTGAATGCCACCACTAGGCCCCCGTCCTCTAAATGCGGGGTCAAGGGAGGGAGGGAGGGAGGGACGGGGAGAGGAATGGAGAGATCGAGGGAAGGAGAGAGCAGTGACAACGAAGTCGTTGCTCCCGCGGGGTACAGCTTGAACGCATGGGGGTTGGTGAGAGAGGGAGTGAGGGAGGGAGGAGGGAGGGAGGGAGGGAGGGAGGGAGGGAGGGAGGGAGGGAGGGAGGGAGGGAGGGAGGGAGTGAGGAAGGGAGGGAGGGAGGGAGGGAGCATTGAGAACGCACAACAAGCATCGGCAATGGAGTGACAATGGGAGTTGGTCGTCACTCCCATGCACGGGGTACAGCTTGAACAGCACCACCACGCTTCTGCTCTCTGGATGGGGGTTGAGGAAGGGAGGGAGGAGAGCAGCAGAGTGTTTGAACAAATGAGCAGTGCGAGCAAAGAGAATGCGGTGTGGTGTGGCACGGTGTGTTTTGGTGTGGTGCAGTGTGGTGACAGGTGTGAGATAGAGCATCATGAGTGGCTCAAAGCCCGCCTTCCCTCCCCAAACTGCCTCTTTCCACGCACACCAGTCCCAACGCACTCACTCGCTTTCTGCACCTCTTCCGGTGTGGTGTCATCTGTAAGGTACAGCGTCATCAACGGCTTAAAGCCCTCCTCCCCTCGCCTCCCCTCTGGCACCGCTGCCAGCACCCGCTTGCGGTACTCTGCTGCTGCCAGTGCGGTGGTGACCGGTGGGCGCAGGTTGGGCATGATGACTGCTCGGTGGAAGACGGCCGCGCTGCCGGGAAGGGGGTAGGGGGGAGGAGGAGGGGTAGGTGGGGGAGAGGGGAAGAGGAGGGGAAGAGGGGGAGGGGAGGAAGGGTGGAGGAAGGGTGGAGAAAGGGGGAGAGAGGGGAAGAAATGGGGAGCAGGGGGGAAGAGGGGGAACAAGAGGGGGAGAGAGGAGGGGGATGGTGTGCATGCGATTCTCTAAGACGAAGACAGACACCTGGCACCTGAAGTTCTACCTGAGATTTCACCTGAGCTCTCACCTAAACGGCACAACGGATTGCAGCGCAGCGCCATCCCGCACGTGCAGGTGCCAGTCGTCGGGCTGCGTAATCTCTAGCCGCTCCACCCCCACAGAATCCGCCGCCGATTGCGCTCGCACCGCCGCCATAGATTGCTTACGTCCTGTGGAAGAGAATCCTTGGCTTGAGTGGCAGGAGACTAGGCGGATGCTTCGATAACGGGAGTCAGAGGAAGGGAAATAGTCGCGCCGTGAGAACGGTCGGCGAAGCGCATTGGTGTGCAAGTGATCGGGAAACGAAACGAGGCGAGAAGGAGTTACGTCGCGCTGCGAGAGCGAGGAATGAGGGTTCGGGGTTTGGGGGAAGAGATTGTTTGCGGGATGCGCGGAGATCGCACTCGCCATAAGAGCGGATTAAAAGGTAGTTATTGTTCGCCGCACGCCCTTGTATGCTGCGAGCGATAGACGCTTCGGAATCCGTTCGGGGAATTTCGGGGCTGATAATGGCGGGGACGGTTGTGCGAAACCAACTGATCCGCAACGATGTGATATGGGATACGAGTATTTGCGCTTTGAAAAAAATGTTTATACTTCATTTTCTTGTGAAAATTGTTATGGAGAATCATTGGCGGATTGACTTGCCTGTATGGTGAATACTTGAGATTCACCTGCGTTTCGCCTGAACTACAATCCACCTGCTTCAGCTGTACCTGCTGACGTGGATATCTGCTGTTCACCTGCATCTGTCTACTGCATGAACACTGTCGCGAGTTTCGTCAAAAGATCCAACGTGTGCTGTCTGCTTTCGCCATAACCATTCGATCGCCGCCACACGCACCCCCACCTCCAACCACACCCAGCCAGCCAAGACTTGTCTGGTCGGAGTTGACAAACAGCGCTGCAACTCAACATGACTTTTCGAATCGCATCGTGTGCCAGGAAATGCCCAACTGGTCACTAGATTTTTTATGTGATGCAAAGCGGTCATTGTAGCAAACGCCGTAGTTTTGTGCGTTCCAGTGAGTTAAGCTGGTGTGATCGTACTGTAACTGCACCAGAATACAATGCGGAATGCACTACTGTAACCAGCACAAGGACAGCTACAAGCGGGGAAAGCCCCACCTTCCCCGCCTCAGGGCAACAGCTCCCACTTCCCTCCGTTGCTCTTCCCGTCTCCCGTCGCTCCCTCCCTTTTTCCCAAAAAACTCCCACATTCTAACCAGCAAACGCGTTAGCTAACTCGCTCTGGTTTTCAGAACTCCGATTCGTGTCCGAACAAGACTAGTTGCGGTCGCGAGGGCCTAGCTTAGTGGGCAGTATTTAATCGTCGCGAAGATCACGCCCCACGAGAATGCGCGCAGCCCTCCACGGGTGAATAGCATGTCAAGGGCCAGAATGGGGCTTAGAAGTGTACGGCTAACGAGATCATTCGCGTTAGTCTCGCTGCTGGCGACGCTTGCGATAATCGCGATGCTGGTAACCGGAGCTGCGGCGCTGGATGTATGTCCTGACGACGATTCTCTGGTGCGTGTTGCGCCGCTGCGGGATGCTGGGAGTTGCTGTTGATGCCAATGTTCGTGTGCTCTGCTCTTCTCTTCTCTGCTCTTCTCTGCTCTGCTCTTCTCTTCTCTGCTCTTCTCTTCTCTGCTCTTCTCTTCTCCGCTCTGCTCTCCTCTGCTTTGTTCCGAATACATTTCGTGCGCGCCCGACAACCGACGAGTGCATGAGAGACACGCAGGAGCTCGACTCGGAAGCCTAAAAAGTCGACCTGAAATTCCCCTTCCCCCTCTCCCTGCACCTTTCGCTGCCTTACGTCGCAGTTCGTGTGCGCGACGACCGACGAGTGCATAAGCGACACGCAGGTGTGCGACGGGTCGCCCAACTGCAGCGACGCGGATGCGCCTTCCGACGAGGACTCCGCGTTCTGCGCGACCTGGGAGTGCCCCAGCGGGTGGAGCAAGTGCGACGACGGCTTGCAGTGTTACGAGGAGAGTCGCATGTGCGACGGCTCGCGCGACTGTAACGATGGGAGCGACGAAGAGGGTTGCGACACTAATGAGGGTGACACGACTCCTGTTGCTGGAACGCCTCAAACGGGAACACCTGATACGGGAACGACTGATACGGGAACGACTGATACGGGAACGACTGATACGGGAACGACTGATACGGGAACGGCTGATACGGGAGCGGCTGATTCGGGGACGGCTGATTCGGGGACGGCTGATTCGGGGACGGCTGATTTGGGGGCGGCTGATTCGGGGACGGCTGATTCGGGGACGGCTGATTTGGGAACGGATGATACGGGAACAGATGATACGGGAACGGATGCTACGGGAACGGATGATACGGGAACAGATGATACGGGAACGGATGATACGGGAACGGATGAAACGGGAACGGATGACACGGGAACGTCTGATACAGCAGCACCAGGTGATGAAACTGAAACTGGCGAAGCAACATCGACGGACGGAAGCGTTCCGGCAGATGAAACTCCTCCTGGAGATGAAACCGAAAATACAGGAGATGCAACTCCACCTCCGCCGGCGAACGAAGACACGACCCCCCCAGGAGATGTAGCTCCACCTCCGCCGCCAGCTGACGTGGACAATCCAGGTGGAGATGAAACCCCTGGTGGTGCTCCACCAGGTGATTCGTCAGGGTCGGGGGAAGGTTCACAGGAACCTTCGGAAGGAGCAGGGGAAGGGGGAGAGGGAGGGAGTGAGGGGGGAAGCGGAGAGGTGGGGGGAAGCGGAGAGGAAGGTGGGAGCGGAGAGGCGGGGGGAAGCGGAGAGGAGGGGGGAAGTGGAGAGGAGGGGGGAAGTGGAGAGGAGGGGGGGAGTGGAGAGGAGGGGGGAAGTGGAGAGGAGGGGGGAAGTGGAGAGGAGGGGGGAAGTGGAGAGGAGGGGGGAAGTGGAGAGGAGGGGGGAAGTGGAGAGGAGGGGGGGAGTGGAGAGGAGGGGGGAAGTGGAGAGGAGGGGGGAAGTGGAGAGGAGGGGGGAAGTGGAGAGGAGGGGGGAAGTAGAGAGGAGGGGGAAAGTGGAGAAGGAGAGGAAGGAGATGGGGAGGGAAACGACACAGAAGAGGGCGGTGATGGAGGGGAGGAGGATGGCTCAGGGGATGAAGATTCAGGTGAATCTGAAGAAGAACCTGAGACGCCACCTCCCCCACCTCCACCTGAGAAACAGCTCTCTCCCCTGGAGCAGAAAAAGCGGGAGTATCAGAAGGCTGCACAGGCAGCCGAGGCTGCTAAGGCCGATGCTGAAAAGGCCAATGCGATTGCCCAGCAGAGGGAGAAAGACGCAGAGACAGCCCAAGCGCGGGCAGAGAAAAAAGCAAGAGAAGCCAAAAGTTCTAGGGGTGGGACGAGCGGGAAGAAGAGGCGGGAGGAGGCGAAGCAAGCGCAGAAAGAGGCCGACGCTGCGAGGGCCAGAGCGGACCAGGCGAGAGAGGAGGCAGATGGGAAGGAGGAAGCTGCTGCGGAGGCTGCGAACACAGTGGAGGAGAAGCGGCAGGAGCTTGTGGATGAAGCAGAGAGGAGCAAGCCAGAGCTAGAGGATAAGAAGAGGAGAGGGACGGCCCGGAAGGACGCGGCTCGGGCCGAGCGAGACGCAGCGAAGGAGAAGAAGGAGGAGAAGAAGAGGACGTTCAGAGAGAGGGTGGCTGCGGCCCGGCTGGCCCAGATGGCTGAAAAGGCCAGCGCTGCCGCCGCTGCTGCAGCAGAGAAGCAGGCAGCGGCGGATAAAGCGATGGAGGCTAAGCAACAGGCGGATGCTGAGGTGGATCGGCTGGTTTCAGCTAAGAGTCAGGCGGAGGATGCGGCGAGGGAGGCCGGGGAAGCGCAGGCTGCAGCGGAGGCGGCGGCACGGGAGGCGGTGGACGCCGGTGATGAGAGGTTGAGTGCGGTGAAGTGGGCAGAGGCTGCGGATGCGCTGGGGTTGAAGTGGGAGAAACAGACGGAGGTGGAGCGAGTGAAGAGGGAGTTGGTTGTGGCTAAGGCGGCAGCTAAGCTAGCTGCCAAGGAGGCTGTGTTGAGGCAGCAGGCAGCTGCTCGGGCGGCAAGTGAGGCGCAGAAAGTCGGCGGCAAAGTGGGCGGGGGCGGTGCGGGTGGTGGAACCGGTGGTGATGCTGGTGGTGATAGTGGTGGTGATGGTGGTGGTGATGGTGGGTCTACTGATCCAGGAGGTGACACAAACGAGGGTGGGTCTAGTGACACAAGCAGTGGTACCAGTGCAGGATTAACAAAAAAAAGTGTTCCATTATCTGACCATAGGGTAAGTGTTGGGGTTAAAATGACCTTAACTGATGGTGTTGTTGGTGGTGGTGCTGGTGGTGGTGGTGGTGGTGGTGGTGGCAACAAAGAGGGTAAGGCAAGAAACAGGAAGGTGGATGTTGGTGGCTGATAATAGGAACTTGTACTGAATATTCCCGTTTGGAGTTTTTGCTTCATATAATGATATAAGTTGTACAGTACCGTATGTATCTTAACCTGCTGTTGACCTGATGGTGCAAAGATGGTGAAGAGGTAAATTCGATTTCTGTAGTACCGTGTGCTCATAATATAGTGAAGTGGTTGTGATGGGAAAAGCCGCATCTACACCATCCCATCCCGCGCCACGATATAAGCTGACGCCTGGTTGGTTGGTAGCATGTGCTTCGGGACAGGAACCATAACCCTGATGAAGCATTCGCTCATTGGCTCTCTCTCCAGTCCAGAGTCGCAGACGTTATTAACGAAGTGGGGCACAAGGTGACGCCGTCGCCAGGGAGTGGAAGGGTCAGGTCAGAAGAATCCTGCACAGCACACATCGTGCATCGCGCGAATCGCTTTCGCTTGATTACGCCGCAATCCGACGCGCATCGCGCATCGCATCGCCAACAGGGTGGGTGGGTGGGTGGGTGGGGGAGTGGGGGGGTGGGGTGGGTCGGGGGAGGTGAGAGAGAGGGGTAATCCTTCTCGTCCAGAGCGAATAGAGCAGTTGGGACCCCGGGCAAGCAGGGAGGAAACAGGGCAAGGCTATGCTAGAATCTCGGAAGGTGTGTGAGCGGGTGGGGGGGAGGAGAGAGAGCGGGAGTAATCCCTCTGGTAGTGAGAAGCAAGAGCAGCTGGAACGGTGGGCAAGCAAGGAGGAAACAGGGCGAGAGGC